TCTTTGGCCAGAAGAGCGGTTTCGGGGGCCAAGGCCACCTAACGAGATAGAGAGGCTCGGGAGGCTGGCGCAACAGCCGGGCACCCCCTTAAGGCTGGCTAGCTCGGGGCCAGAGGCCAGGCGGGGGCAAGAGTAGAGGCGGGGTAGGGAGGGTGGGGCGGGGCTATGAGCAGGGCTAGCGCGGGGATTGGCTGTAAACGCAGGAGGATTGAGCCAATGAAGCCGTAGTGCGCAGAGCGCGCTGATGTTCATTCTGAGGATGCTGGTACCCAGGATCCTTCTTAAGGCTTGGAGAAGATTGGGGTGTTGTGTCCAGGTCGGTCACTGACCTTCTCTTGCTCTTGGTTTGGGGACTCACTGGCTGAATTAAATGGTGTGGAGCCAGCTTAGTCTCTCAGGTTGTTTTCTAAGCTCACTTTCTAAGGAAGAAAATGTTTAGTATAAATCTATTGTTGTTTTTATTAGTAAAAACAATTACTTCTTGCTAGGTATCGTGCTAAGGTCGAGGTTAAGCGCTAGGGTTCCAAGTTTATAAATGCTAATCTTACAAAATAAATGATTAACATTTATCGTAATGTGTCGGGTGCTTGTTATGAGCCAAGGGTAGTGTTGAAAAAAATACGGCATTATTTTTAGTGCTAATAATTACTAAAAAGTATTCATTATGTTGAAACAGCTCATATTTATGCATCTTGGGTGCCAGGCACAGTTCTAAAATTTCCCGCGTGTTAAATCCTCACAACCTCCCAGTGGAGTACCTACTACTGTATTGTTATTGCTGATATAACAAGAAACCGGCTCACAGGGGTGATGGTGCCGCCGAGTCATGAGCTGGTAAAGAACATATCAGAATCTTTGCCTTTAGCATAGTGGTTAGGGGTCCCAAGGCTGGAGCCTGACTGCCTAGGTTCAATTCCTGGCTCTAGCATTTCACCCTGAACAACAGGTCAACAGGGGCAAGTTTCCTTAACTCTTTGGCCAGAGTGTGTCCACTTTTATCTATTTTATGCAGTGAGTGCTTAGGTATGATTTCTTAAAACAGCATCTTCTTAACATTAGGTTACCAGAAGCATCAACAGACTTGAAAAGGAAGTGACCTTCTTAGTGTGTGACTTGATATTTAATATAGTGCCCATCTTCCAAAATATTGGTGTTTCCCACAGTTTAGAAAACACTAATAAAAGAGCTGTGAGCAGAAAACTTGAAAATCATTACTCTAGGGCACAGTAATCCAAAAAAACCCAGGCTGGGACTGGTGTTTTCCAAAGGCTTTAGAAACGCATTAGATACAATCCTTCTATAGCAACCCATTACTTAAACTACTAGGTGCAAGGGGTTACCTTCAGGTGCTGCTGCAGATAGTAAGAGGGACTTCTGTGTTGCTCTGAATAGTTTTATATTGCTGGAATCTATTTAAAAGAATGTAACCATGAATTACTTCTGTAATTAAAAAAGGTACCCGGTGCCCTAACCGGTATGGCTCAGTGAATAGAGCGTCAGCCTGCGGACTCAAGGGTCCCAGGTTCAATTCTGGACAAGGGCATGTACCTTGGTTGCGGGCACATCCCCAGTAGGGAGTGTGCAGGAGGCAGCTGATCGATGTTTCTAACTCTCTATTCCTCTCCCTTCCTCTCTGTAAAAAATCAATAAAATATATATTTTTAAAAAATGGTACCTGGTGAGCTCTAGCCAGTTTGGCTCAGTGGATAGAGTGTCAGCCTGCGGACTGGAGGGTCCCAGGTTTGATTTCGGTCAAAGGCACGCACCTCGGTTGCAGGTTCCTCTTGGCCGGGCCCTGGTCAGGAAGTGTGCTGGAGGCAACCAATCGATGTGTTTCTCTCACATTGATATTTCTCTGTCTTTCACTCTTTCTTCCACTCTCTGTCTCTAAAAAAAAAATCAATGGAAAAATATCGAATGAGGATTTGAAGAAAAATTTTTAATGGTACCTGGCAATATGGAAAGTCTGGGAAATACTGCAAAGTATGAGGAAGAAACTTATTTAACTCAGAAACTGTTTCTCATTTTCAGATTTTGGTGAATTTCCTTCACCTTTTTCTGCTGTAATCACAGAATTATTTTTATTTGGAAATCTTCTAAAGGTTGATTTGCTTTTATCACTTACTATATCATGAGCCCTTCCCAATATCATCAGAAAGTCTTCAAGAAAGTGCTTATGGTGCTAGACATTACTGAGACCAACACCCGGTTCTCTGATGGCATTTCCCGGCCCTTTTGCAGTTGGGCCGTGACCAAGGGGACATGAATGGAAATGACCTGTAGCACTTTCAGGCCAAGGCAGTGATAAACTCTTGGAGCTTCCAGCCCTCTCCTTTTCCTGCTGTGGTAACCAGGGCCACACGTTCCAACTAAAGGGGCTGTACTCTGGTCTCTTGAGTGTATAGGACAAAGCCAGCTAGCCAGCCTGCCCCTGTCCCCAGCTCCTGGCAATCCACAGTGGACATGTAATGTGAGCAAAATAAACCTCTGTTCTGTTCAACTACTGAGATTTGACACTTAACTGTATTGCCACAGCATAATCTAACTCAGCTAATAAGTCTATTGGCTTAGCAGTGCTAGGCTTAGTTAACTCAGTGTTCCCCAAGCCTCATGCAATTATATTTCACTCTCAATTTTTGCTGTACATGTGTACCACATATTTTCCCTTTAATTCAGTTTACTCCCCCCCTGCCCCCCCCCCCCCAAACCAACTTATTTCTAAAGAGGACTTTCGCCTGGCTGGCATGGCTCAGTGGTTGAGTGTTGACCTATGAACCAGGTCAGTTCGATTCCTGGTCAGTGCACATGGGGGCTCGATCCCCAGTGTGGTGTGTGCAGGAGGCAGCCAATCAACGATGCTCTCTCACCATTGATGTTTCTATCTTTCTCTTCCTCTCTGAAATCAATAAAAATGTATTTAAAAAAAAATAAAAATAAAGACTTTGTCACTACCATGAGCAGGAAGCTAGTATCTCGTCAGTAAAGGAGAAAAAGTGGCAAGAATTAAATACCAACAAAATATTAAATTCTAGTTAAAATTATTGCCTGAGCCTGAGGCCTGCTGTGTCTTTGTAGAGAAAATACCATGCTTTCTCCTTGATTAGTTAGGATTGCACTAGAATGGAAGTGTTGTTTGTTGATGTATCTGAGCCGGCTGAAATTGTGTGGTTCCCTCCGTCTTTAGGAAAAACAGACTTAACTGCCCTCTTAAGGGGTGGTTTTCACCGCTGCAAGCCCTCCCCCACTAGAACATGAAAACTGGTAGGTAGGGACACTGTATGCCCAGAATCTAGCCAGGTGTGTGGCACCAGGCTGAGAGAAGGAACCAACACTTTCAGACTCAAAACTTTAATCAGAGAACCAACATACACACAAGGAGGGCATTTCTACCCTGGCTCAAAGCAACTCAGGTCATTAGTTATGAAAACTGCCCCTCCCCTCCCCCCAAGCTGGTGATTTTCCACAGGGTCTCTGACCTGCGTGTTTAGTATTAAAACTCTTCACTGAATACACTTCAACTCATTTTGAGTTCCCACCTCTGCCCCATCCCGCAACACTTTGTGTACCCCACCAGCCTGTCACCCAGACTAGACAGTTTCAAGGGCGGGGACCATGCACAGGGAGTGGGACATTTTGGCCATTAAAAAACCAGGATGCTCCCCACTGTGCAGGTGGCCTAAAGATTAACCCAGTTCCATTAAGTTCCCAGTTTCAAGAACAAAATCAACCAGCAGAACTCAAAGGTGCAAGGTTTAAAAAGTCCAAGAGCCACAGGAAACATACTCTTACACTTTTTTAGCACCAAGAATATGAAAGATATTAAGTGTCCAATGTCTTCCTAAGATTGTTTGTGCTGCAGCAAACACGTGACTTGTTCACTTAGTGGGTAGGGCTCAGAAGCCCAGAGAGATGCCATCTATAGGGAGCAGGTTGTGTGGTTCCATGAGGTGAGTCTCTGTTGTAGCACAGGCCTGGCCAAGGTGAGCTGCTGACGTGATGGCTCCAACAGGAAAGCTCTTTTCCTTACTGGGTTAACAATCCTCAGCAGCCCAGGACTTGCTGTGACATGAGGGAATATGGCATTTTAAGATGTCACTTGTCAACAAACGGCACTCCTCTGTGAAAATGGGACCACCAATTTCCCTTGGATTCCAGAAGCTTCGAGGCAAGGGCAGGGCTTACCATACTGACATTCCCTGTCCTGGCGCCTGGGAAAGTGCCTGGTGAGTAGCCAGCTTGGACAAATGGTGCATGAAGAACATTCTAGCAGTCCATCACAATTTTCACCACCAAGCACATCCTCTGTATAGTGTTAACTGTGACAATATCCAGTGCAGCTTTCCTAACTGAATCCAGCTGTTCCAGTATCATTAACTCCAATAACAAAAAATGGGTTCATTGTATAACCAATAACTTTACACATGGGAAGATTATGGGAAAAGGTGGCATGTGGTCCTGGCTGAGTGGCTCAATTGGTTGGAGTGTCGTCCCGTACACCAAAAGGTTGTGGGTTCGATTCCCAGTCAGGGCACATACCTAGGTTGTAGGTTTGATCCCTGACCAGGGCACGTGCAGGAGGCAGCTAATTGATGACCCCCGCTCTCTCTCCTTCTCTCTAAAAATCAATAAAAACATGTCCTTGGGTGAGGATTAGAAAAAATAAGATGGCATGTGTATGTGGAAAGGGTCCTTTTGAATGAGAGGTATGGGAGGTTATGAGTGAAAAGTTTTAGCTATTTGATATTAAGTGCTCTTCTTGACTTTCTGTGGGCTCATTAAGAAAATACTGGGACAGAAAAAAGATGGAGGGAAGGAAAAGGTTAGATTTTTTTTTTTAAAGATTAATGTGTTGGGATTGGAGAACCAAATTAAGCCAGGGGCATTTTGAAGAAAAACTTTAAAAATTAAAGTCACCCATATTAGTGAGAACATTAACTGCAGTAAATAGAGATAGAGAGCTTCTAATTCTTCTCTTCCTCGTAACATAAGAGTACGTTTATGTTGTATATGTATACCTCATGCTTGGTGAGTACTTATGTGCTGGGCACTCAGTTCTAAGTGCTTTACATCAATTTATCCTCACACCATCTCTCTGAGGTAGGTAACTATTATTTTACTTGTTTTACAGATGAGGATACTGAGGCCCTGAGAAGTTTCGTGACTCTCTCTAGGTCACTTAGGCAGCAGATGGCAGAGGTGAAATTTAACTCAGGAGACTGGCTACAGAGTCTACCTCTGAATTTGGATACTACACAGCTTCTTTTGTGTTTTCATTGTCTTAATGAAACTTGTGTGCAAACTTTCTAATCAATCTTTATTAATATAGAGATCTATATATATTTTGGGGATAGGGGTAGGGAAAGGATAGACTTACAATGTGTGATGGTTTCAATTTTAGGGCTCAGATGTCAGGTCTTGCTGTCACCTGGTGACCACAGGTGGTATTGCTAGTTACTTTTGAGTGTGAACTTGCTGGTGTCGGCAGAGACCTAAGTAGCAGCCAAAGGCTTTTTGACAGTGTTGACACTGATATTGTTTTTCTTGAGTGTGAATTACTTGGTGCTGACTGAGATGGGAACTGAGGCTAAAGGTTTTCCCACATACATCACAGATGTAAGGCTTCTCCCCAGTGTGAATTTTCTCGTGCTGCCTCAGATTTGCTTTCTGGGAAAAGGCTTTCCCACATTCAGCACACAGATAGGGCTTCTCTCCAGTGTGAACTCTCTGGTGAATAGAAAGGCACGAGTTCTGGCTGAAGGCTTTCCCACATACCTGACAAACATAAGGCTTTTCTCTGGTGTGAACTCTCTGGTGTCGAACAAGTACAGCTTTCAGGCTGAAGGCTTTTCCACATTCATCACATTTATATGGATTCTCACCTGTGTGAATTCTCTGATGCTTAGAAAGGCGCCAGCTGTGTCTAAATGTTTTTCCACATTCATTACATTCAAAAGATCTCTTCCTGGCATGACTTTTCTGGTGCTGAGTAAGGTACTTACTGTGCACAAAGACTCTGTCACACTGATTACATTTAAAGGGTTTCTCTGCAGTGTGAGTTAACTGATGTTCTGAGAGATGTACACTTTGGCTGAAGGTCTTTCCACATTCATTACACTTAAAGGGGTGCTCACTCTTGTGGATGTTCTGATGTTTGGTAAGGGAGGTGATTCGGATGAAGGCCTTCCCACACTCCTCACATTTATATGGCCTCACTCCAGAGTGTATGATCTCGTGGCGAATGAGCTGTGCACTTTGGACAAAGGCCTTCCCACACTGTTTACACTCAAAGGGCTTCTCCCTGGTGTGAAGTTTCTCATGCTGAGTCAGGTATTTGCTGCAGCTGAACGTTTTCTCGCATGTGTTACATTTAAAGTGCTTCTCACCACTCCTCGGATGATCTTTCTGTTCTAGGTTCTGATTCAAAATCTTTCCGCTCCCATCAAGTCCTTGTTTTTCTTGGGTGTGAATGCTCTGGTGGCAAGTTAGGGTCGAACTGCAAATGAAGCGCTCACCACACTCCTGACATTCGTAGCGGGTTTCCACAGCATGCATTTTTTGGTGTTGGATAAGACGTTCATTATGGCTGAAGGTCGCACTGCATTCAGCACAGCTGTAGGGCTTTTCTGTGGCATGAACAGACTGGTGTCGAATCAGGTGGGAAGGCCGGCTGAAACTTTTGACACATTTGTTACATTTGTAGGGCCTGTAGCCCGTGTGAATCCTCTGATGTTCATTCAGATGAGTGTTCCGGTAGAAGGCTTTCTCACACTGACTACATTTGTAAGGCTTCTCTCCACTGTGAACCCTCTGGTGGCTCTTTAGGGTGAAGGTATGGCTGAAGCATTTCCCACACTCATCACACTTATAAGGCTTTTCTCCCGAGTGAATAGCCTGGTGTTTAATGAGGGATGAGCTATGCCTGAAGGTCTTCCCACATTCCTGACACTTAGAGGTAGTTTTTGAAACATGAATTTTCTGATGTTGGAGGAGGTATTTGTTAAAGTTGAAGGTGGCCTTGCATTTGACACATTCATAGCGTTTCCGAGTGTGGGTCTTCTGATGCTGAATAAGATGATAGTTTCGGCTGAAACCCTTGCCACACTCATTACACTTGTAGGATTTACGAATTCTGTGGGTTTTCTGCTTTTCAACAGGCTTCGAGACAAGACCTGATGAATGGTCACTGTCTTGACTCTTATGTGTTTTTTCTCCAGTGTGAATTTTTTGATGCCACAGAAGGTGAGTGTTGTGACTAAAAGTTTCCCCACATTTGTTACACACATAGGATTTGGGACCTGTGTGAGTTGTTGGATAGACAGGAAGGCAAGAAATCTGGTTGAAACTATCCTCATACTCTTGATTCCCAGTTGGTTTCTCCGCTATATGAGTAATCCAGTGCTGGATAAGATGGCAACTCCGGCTGAAGCTCTTCTCACATTCACTACATTTATATGGTCTCATCCCTTCCTGGACAGTATCCTGCTGACTCTGGTCTGAGTGGGAGCCAATGTCATTCCTACATTCCTGAGACTTAGCTGGCGTCAGGCTCTTCTCGGAAAGATCATGGGCCAGGGAATCTTCTCCTGTGAAAAGGAAGGACTCAGGATCGAGGCCACTCTTGAGTTCATGACTCTTGCCCTCTGTGAAGCTTTCCTTGTTGGTGACAATGTCAGAGCTCATAAGACTTTCTGGATCTCCTAGCAAACTATCTAACCAGCTCTCGCCCATGTAGCCTTCTCCAAAGTTAGAGTTCCAGAGGCCATCCTTGGAAAACGTCTCCAATATCTCCTGAGAGAGTCCTTCCGAGAATTCCTGTGGCAAAGGGGAAATCTTGGCCTCGGCTGTGTCTGAAAGAGAGAGAGTGTAAATGTCTCCTGTTCCCTAGGGTGAAAAGACAGGAGCTGCAGGGTGAGGATACAGACAAGAGAGAACAGGGGATGGATCCCGCGTCAAGTCTGTGTCCATCAAGGGATGAAGAAGAGGCTAGCAGAGTGATCCAGCTGTAACCTGCATCTCAGGAAAAGGAAACCCATATACAAGACAGTTAAGAAGGGAGCTGGGCTGCAGGGCCTCCATAGGGAAGGAGAGAGGCCTCTCAGCAGATACTCTCCACCATCACCCTCATCAGCTGGGGCCTACTTCCTAGAGAAGTACACTGATCGAGGGACAAGATCTACAGGGTAACAGTGCCATACGACTGTTTCCACGGAGGCTGTATTTACACGTTAATAACGGTGTGGCTCCATATGCTTGGAAACAGCCTTGTGTTGAGGTGGCAGAAACAGAAATCCGAGAGAGCAGGAATCTGTGCCTGGGTTAGTCCCCTTGTGAAGACACGAGCTCCTGAGGTGAGCCAAGAATGGAGCTGCACGCTGACAAGCTGTGCAGACACTTCTCCATGGTTTCTGGATCAGGGCGAACCACGAGAAAAGCCTCTCATGCCCAGGCAAGCCCCCTGCCTCTTCTTTCTCCCACAGGGGACGTCTTGACCAGCATCACACTAGGGAATCTTCACTGCTTAACCTGAACCTCCTGGGAGAACTGTGGCCTGGGAGAGGGCAGAGTAAATGCCCAGGCTTGAGTTGTGGCCATCTGCTGTTCTCTGTGGGCCAGGAAAGAGGGCTGGGCCTGTACAAAGAGGTTGAAACAGGTAGACCAGGGTGTCCACAGTACTTAGGGGGCATGAGGCAGGAAAATGGAGACCAACTTGGGGAACAGACGTCCTCCCCCTGCTGAGTCTGGAAGAACCAAGGAGGGAACAGAGAAAAGGCACCAGGACAGCCATGTGCTGAATGCTGAGGTTAAACAGAGGCAAGGAGGGTATGCAGAGTGTCCTGATCCTGGGTGGGACAGGGAGACAAAAGCCAGCATGTGGAAAATTGAAGCCCAGAAGCTGGGGGTCCCAATGGTTAGGTAGACATACTCCATCTGAGGACAGAGGGCCATACCACAGGACCCCACCATCCTCACACCAGGTGCCAGTGGCCCCTCCCCACCCACTCACCAGGGCCTGTCACTTCTGGACTTCCTCTCTCCAGGACCTCCAGCTCTTCTCCACCATCTGGATAGGCGGTCTGATTGGGTCTCAGGGGGTCTGCAAGGAAAGAGAACAGCATTGCTGTCAACCAAGATGTGGAGGGCCACCCAGCTGCTCAGCGGCAACCTCTGGCTCTCCTGACGATTCCATGCTTTATCTAGCACACAGCCCTGGGGGCCAGATGCTGCACTGGGAGACTGAGGTGCCTGCCCTGCAGGGTTCCTGCTCCAGTGGGAGAGAAGGACCCACATAGTCACAATCTGGGGTGATCAGAGCTATGACAGCTGGGGCTACGGACACAGGACGTGGAACAGCTCAAGGGATGAATTGAGCTTGCCAGGTGGACAGGCCCATACTTACTCAACAATTTATAATTCACTCGTTCACCTGTGTACCACACATTGCCCCAGGCCTCTGTGGGGTAAGCCCTGTGATAGAAAATGTTCGGGTTCTAGGGATCCAGCAGCCCTGTACACCGCCCTCCCCAAACTTCTGCAAGGAAGGGAGCAGTTATAATCCAGGCATATGTGCTACAGTGGAGGAAAGGCCACTGGTGGCTTTGAAGGTGAAGAAAGGGGCCATGAGCCAAGCAATGCAGGCGGCCGCTAGAAGCTGAAAAGAGGCAAGGAAACAGATTCTCCCCTGAAGCCAGCCTTGCCAACACCTCAATTTTAGCTCACTCAGACTTATTTTGAACTTCAGATCTGCAGACCTGTAAGAATAAATGTACTGTTTTAAGCCACTACATTTGTGGCATTTGTAGAAGCAGCCATAGGAAACCACAGATGTGCAGGGGAAACAAAGGACATACATTTCTACTGCGGGCTGGAGTTTAAAAACTGAAGACACGGAGATCAGACCTTTCTAAGTTGCTTCTATGGCACACATTGAGTACAGTTTGGAGGGAACCTGCCTCAATGTGATAAAACTACATTAAATATATGGTAGTTCCAGTATATAGTTTTTTCTTTTCTTCGTCTTTTGGAATAAATTCTTCTTCTGTTTTTGGAAAAGAAAGAACTGAGAAACTAGGAAAGGGGAAATGAGTTGATCTGGATGATAGGGAGCTGGGGTGCCCTGGCCCTGGAGCTGCACAGGTCCCAACCGGACTCTCAGCCATGCCATTTGCTTTCTGTGCACTGCTGGTGGTCAGAGCCCAGGTGAAAAGGGCTCACAGAGCCAGCCCACTGGAATGGCCTGCTCACAAGGCTGCCCTTGGCTGGTGTCTGGGAACCTGGATTTCGGGAGGGTCCGGCATTCTCTGACCAGGCAGAGGGGCTCCCTGTGCACAAACTGTTCTGCTGAACAACTGCTTTCCTGCCGAGTGTCTGGGATGTGGGTACATTGCAAGCAGAGTGTGTCTACATAATAAGCCCTGAATAAAAACCCTCGGTGCGGAGTCGCTGTTACACCTCGTTGCTGGGGGAATTAAGCATGTCCTGTGCAACTCCACGGGCACAGGGCTCTGGATGTTGGCGTTAGTCTCCCCTGGATGCACACCACGCACCTTTCCCCTTAGCTGTACTGTGTGTCCTTTCACTGTGATGGATCATGGGATGAGCACAGCTATAGGCCAAGTCCTACACGTCCTCTTAGTAAACCACCAAAGCGGGGGGTGATCCTGGGAACCTGAACAGAGCTGCAAAATGACTTCCCCTCTTTGAAGCTGTTTAAGATGCTCAGCAAAATATGGACAAGCTTCTCATGGGGCGACAGGAGGGTAGAAGGAGAAAGTTCTAAGAGCTCACGCAGCACAGAACCTGGCTCCTGACAGCATTTCCCACCATTCATTTATTAATTTAGGAATTGTTTACCGAGTCCCCACAGCAGGTATTGTTTGTTACAAATGTTGGGGTACACCAGTGAACAGCACAGGTGCCCCGAGGAAGCTCCCATCTGGCAGGAGACAGATCATAATAGGAGCAGTCAGAACATGAAGGAGCAGTGACTAGCTAAGTAGGAGAGAGGGAGGCTAGTGGAGTCACAATTTCAGCCTTAGGGAAGCCCCAAGTCAAGGAAGGGACAAGAGTCCGCCAGGCAGAGGGGAGAGCAGAGGTGAAGACCCTACAGAGTCAGCACGAGGAATCACTCCAGAATGACAAAGAGGAAAATGCTGCTGCAGCAGTAGGCAGGGGTTGGATCAGGGCTTGTCAACCTTGCCACTACTGACATTTGGGGTCAGGTAATCCTTGGTTGTGGGGGTTGTCCTTGCATCCTAGGATGTCTGGCAGCTTCTCTGGGTTCTACCCACTAGATGCAAGAAGCACTCCCACTCCCCCTAAGTGGTGACGATCAAAGAGGTGGCCAGGCATTGCCAATGTCCCCTAGAGGGGTAGGGGGAGAGAATCAGCCAGCTAAGCACTGCTGAGCTGGAGCACGCTGGTTCTGAGGTGTTCAAGAGCTGGGAGTTCATCCTGTGGGTGATGGGGAGCCACGGGTGATCACCAAGCAGGGTCAGGGTGCATACTCACTCAGCAAGAAGAGATTCTGGTAGTTGTCCAGTGCCGTGTCCCAGAACAGGTCCCCCTGGTCCAGCCCCAGCTGCTCCCAGCCCTCCAAAGTGAAGTCCATGGCCACGTCCTTGAGGGTTGCAAGTTACTGAAACACAACACACTGTCAGTGACTCTGGGGCTGGGGTCAGGGAGGAGCCCAAGGGCTCACTCAATGCATCCCCCACCCTCAATGTGCCAGGTCTTTGACAAGAATTATCTTGTGAGAACCTTCAGAACAGAAACTAGGCATCCCCATATTTTGTAGGGAGTCTTGGAGAAGGGACACAGGCAGGACTTAAACCCAATCAAGTCTGCCTAATCCTAAAATCCATTTATTTCTGACTTTCAATTATTTTTTGTTAAAGATTTTAAGTTTTATTATGGAAACTTTCAAACATACACCCAAGTAGAGACATGCATGCAACAGACCACCACATATCCATCACCCAGCTTCAATCCCCATCCTATTAACATGTCTGTTTTGTTCACTAAACCTCTTTCCCCACTTTTCTTTATTTATTTTTGTGGGGGCTAAAATATTTCAAAGTGAATCCCAGGTGATATCTGATTTCTCCTGTGAATACTTCAGTATTAATAGTAGAACCCCTTACTCACTGCATACATACATCATATTCAAAGTCTGTACAGTCAACTCCCGATTTAATTAATGGACTTTGGATTTAATGGACAATATTTCTGGTCAGTATGTCATATGTCATGAAAATTAACATCCTGTCGATTTTAAGATGCTTTTAACCAAGATTTGCTTAGAATTAAAATAGTAGCTTATCTTTTTGTTATTGATTCAATTTTAAAAATATATATATATATTCCAGAGAGGAAGGGAGAGGGAGATAGAAGCATCAATAATGAGAGAGAATCACTGATTGGCTGCCTCCTGCATGTCCCCTTCTCCTCACTAGAGATAGTCTACAACCCGTGCATGTGCTCTGATTTGGAATCAAACCAGCGACCTTTAGGTGCATGGGACGATGCTCATCCAACTGAGCCACACCAGGGTTCAATGGTATGTTTTTGTAGTTGGCTTGTTTGAAGCAAAAACCAAGGAAGCCTATGCCCTGTATTAGAGTGACATGCTTCAGAAGGTCTTTAATCTATACCTGTACCGCTCTGCTCTTTTTATTCTATGCTCCCGATTTAGGGTGCAACACCTGGATATGGTGCTTCCTCTTGGTGTCATTTAACTGCACCTCTGCCTGATGCATTTCCTGGAAACTAGTCAGTAGAGCAGCAGCTGATTAGATTAGGTACAACTTTGGGGAGGAAGAGCCCTCACAGGTGGTGCATGACAGCCCGAAGTGCCTGTGTGCCACTTTTAGTGATGTCATCTTTCTTAATTTTAAAAGTTCCCAGTGAGTAGGTACTTGGAATAAAAATACGTGTCCTTGCCCTGACCGGTTTGGCTCAGTGGATAGAGCGTCGGCCTGCGGACTGAATGGTCCCAGGTTTGATTCCAGCCAAGGGCACGTACCTTGGATGTGCGCAGTAGGGGTGCGCAGGAGGCAGCTGATCGATGTTTCTCTCTCATTGATGTTTCTAGCTCTCTATCCCTCTCCCTTCCTCTCTGTAAAAAATCAATAAAATATATTTAAAAAATATGTGTCCTGGAGAAGTACTGACAATAAAAAATGACAGCCTTCCCCGGCACCCTACCTCCAGGTGAACCCGTGGCTGTCTGGTGTGTTCTTTCCAGACCCCCATCAATACACATACGGACACATTTCAGGTAAGAATGAAACCTGAGTCTTTAGTTTGGGTCTGAGGCTTGGCCCAACTACCTTCCTCTGTGGGTAACTCTGGGCAGTTAAGACCCAAGCCCCCTTCAGAGCCCCGATTCCTGCCCCATCTCATAGGGCTGCTCTGGGAAGTAACTTGAGATGCTGCTGGGGAGTTCGTGCACAGTTCCTAGAGCACAGGAAGGAATCGACAAAGGGCAGTGACAGTCTGGCAGGGCTGACAGACATGGGCAGGGACAACTACATCCAGGTGCGTTTGTTATACAGTGGAGGTAGCAGGCAGTGCTATGGGAGACCAGAGCAAGGAAGAGCTCTGGGAAGGTGGGGGAATTGAGCTGTGTCTTAAAGGTGGTGTGACTTACCAGCTAGAGATGGGAGGCAGGGTATTCTAGCCTGTGCGTAAGGCACATAAGGGAAATGAATGCAACACAGTTATAGTAATCAGTCATTAGCGAACATTGTAGTTCGTTATTAATAATTATGTGTATGCCCTAGCCGGTTTGGCTCACTGGATAGAGCGTCGGCCTGGGGACTGAAGGGTCCCAGGTTTGATTCTAGTCAAGGGCATGTACCTTGGTTGCAGGCACATCCCCAGTAAGGGGTGTGCAGGCGGCAGCTGATCGATGCTTCTCTCTCATCGATGTTTCTAGCTCTTTATCCCTCTCCCTTCCTCGCTGTAAAAAATCAATAAAATATATATTTAAAAAAATAATTATGTGTAACAGGATATTGTAAAAATTAAGTTACAAAATATTTATTAAAATGTTTCTTATATACCGTTGTATTGGCTGGGCTGCAAAGATATTCGTTGCGGGCCGCAAGTTGCTTGCTCTAGGGCCCAAGGTTTGGTTCAAGTCACTTGTTTGACTCAAGTCACTCCCACAGGCTGGTTGACCTTGAGTGGTTCCCCTTCCTTCCCAGGGCTGAGGGCGTATGAGATGTGGACAGATCCTGAGTTGGAAACTAGACTGGGAGCTGGGAAGCGTAGTGTAACATTTTACTACAGGTCCAAGAAGGGAGTGTCCCATGTGTGATTAAAGAGGAGAGAAGAGACCATGGATGGGGGCAGGACCCAGACCATGCAGGAATACGCTGAGAAACCTGGATTTTATCCCGTTAGCAATAAGGATTCCTGGAAGGGTACTAAGCAGGAGAGAAAGAACATGAGAGCTTTACTTTAAGATCGCTTGGGGCCACCACAGGACAGTGAGCCTGGAACAAAGACAGGCCCCCTGTGCAGCCTTTGGGGATGATCTGTTGGGATGGCAGGACTCTCGACTCACCTCAGTAATAGCCGACTAGGCCCAGCAGCCCGAGTCCTAGTTTAAGCTCCCCCTTCTTCCCCTCCATGTTCCCAGCTGGCAGGGCCGCAGGAAGGATAAGGAAACGGGGAGACAGTCTTCCTTCCTTCTAGGACTGACTTCCTGGCCATGCTGGATGAGCCCCCAAAATGTCCAGAAGTAGGATGAGTCAGAACATGAGTCTCCCTGCAGGAATCACAACAATTGTTATTTATTGAAACTACCCCAGCCCCAAGCTTCACTACGCTTCAAAATCTACAAAGCAACTTCACAGCCATTCTTCGCATTAATCACAATTGATGATACACATTTCGCACCTGCTGTCTTGGGCAATGCTGTGTCCTAGCCCAGCACAGGACGTCTGTTCACAGAGTACATGTGTCTCTAACTGAACCCTTGGGACAATGCTTCTGAGATTTCGGGTTATACTATGTCATCTCTAGGATTTGAGTCCAACTGTGTTGGTCTCCAAACTGTTGCTATTTCTATAGCAGCAAGAGTTCTTCGACTTCCTTTTTTAACCACGACCCACAAAAACAAAGACTATATATATATACATATACACATATACTAGAGACCCGGTGCACAACATTCGTGTACGGGGTGGTGGTGGTGTGTGTATCCCTCAGCCCAGCCTGCACCCTCTCCAATCTGGGACCCCTCGAGGGATGTCCGAAAACGGGCAGTAGGACATCCCTCTCACAATTGAGGACTGCTGGCTCCCACCACTTGCCTGCCTGATTGCCCTAACCACTTCTGCCTGCCAGCCTGATCACCCCCTAACCACTCCCCTGCCAGCCTGATCGACACCTAACTGCTCCCCTGCCAGCCCGATTGCCCCTAACTGCCCTCCCCCATAGGCCTGGGTCCCCCTCAACTGCCCTCCCCTGCTGGCCTGGTCACCCCTAACTACCCTCCCTTGCAGGCCTGGTCCCTCCCAACTGCCCTTCCCAGCAGGCCATCTTGTGTCCACATGTGTTGGAGTGATGTTCAATTTGCATATTAACTCTTTATTATATAGGATATCATGACTGCTCATTCACACATAACAAAAGTTTCATGAGATAATACTTAATCTTACATAGTTGCTTTTTACTTCATTAAAAAATATTATGATCATTGCCCAGTGAGTTATTTTTATGACCCACAATATGGGAAACACTGTACCAGAGGGCTTTTTACACGTTTGTAGACATTGAATTTCCTAAGGAGCGTGTATCTATGCAGTGTTGAAAACACTCCATATTGCAAAGCAGGATGACTCAATGACCCAGGCCCACAATTCTAGAGCCTCTAGGGCAGTGATGGCGAACCTTTTGAGCTTGGCGTGTCAGCATTTTGAAAAACCCTAACTTAACTCTGGTGCCGTGTCACATATAGACATTTTTTGATATTTGCACCCATAGTAAAACAAAGATTTATATTTTTGATATTTATTTTATATATTAAAATGCCATTTAGCAAAGAAAAATCAACCAAAAAAATGAGTTTGCGTGTCACCTCTGACACGCGTGTCATAGGTTTGCCATCACTGCTCTAGGGCCTCATGTGCTTTGAAATTCAGAAATTTTCAGATTTTAAAAAGGTGACGTACATTTACACAATATATTTCATGAAAATCCCGGTGCAGTGTAGGACCAGCAGCATTTTGTTATTGAACACTTCAATATTTCTAGATCTCCAGCTTCTGAAAAAAAATTCTAGGACTTGGCCATGCTGAGTCAGCATCCCACCAAGCTAGCTAGTTGGAGCTCATTTAAATCTACTCTCCCTTAAGTGGGGCAAAGACTCCCTGATGTCCCTTAGCCCTGACCAGGCAGGTTCTCTCCTTTACCTGAGGCTTGAGACCTCTGTCTAGTTTCCTACACCACTGTCCTACACCCTCAGCCCTGGGGAGGAAGGGGAGCCACTCAAGGTCACCCAGCCTGTGGGAGTGACTTGAACCAAACCTTGGGCCCTAGAGCAAGCATGTCAAACTCACCACCCGCGGGCCACATGTGGCCCAAAACGAATATTTTTGTGGCCCAGCCAATATAACAGTAAGAAACGTTGTAATAAAAATTTCCTAACTTAATTTTTACAATATCCTGTTACATGTAATTATTAATAACGAACTACAACGTTCGCTAATGACTGATAACTATAGTCGTGTTGCATTCATTTCCCTTATGGGCCTTACGCGCAGGCGCACCATTTCCCTCCACTAATACCAGCAGTGAATATTTTAAATATATTTTTATTGATTTCAGAGAGGAAGGGAGAGGGAGAGATAGAAACATCAATGATGAGAGGGAATCATTGATTGGCTGCCTCCTGCATGTCCTCTACTGGGGATAGAGCCTGCCACCCAGGCATGTGCCCTTGGCTGGAGTCGAACCTGGGACCCTTCAGTCCATAGGCGGATCTCTATCCACTGAGCCAAACCAGCCAGGGCACTAGCAGCGAATATTTTAGCAGCCTTTTGCCACGTCATTCGTCTTGTACTGACTTGTTTGGTGTGCGCAACAGGAATTATTTTGCTTTCGGAGAACAGAGAAATAGGTTTATTTGTGTGACGCTTATTAATCTCCGCAGTTATTCAGTGTCTGGTAAGTACATGTTCAAGAAAAATATTAACTTTTATTAAAATGTTCTATTATTTTAAGTTAATGAGGACTCATTTATTTCAGCCCTTTGCATTCAGCACGTCGCTATCGAAATAAACCTGAGTTTCTATGAAAACTGAAGCTTTTGTTTTTTTGCGGTCCACAGACACTTCCACCATATTTATTTGGCCCGTGTTAGCCTCCGAGTTTGACACGCTTGCCCTAGCCTCGAGTCGCCTTAGCGTGGGACGAAGGCCAGGTCACCCACCCTCTCTGCACCTCAGTTCCTACATGTGCAAAATGAGACAGACACAACGGATCCACGGTCCCTTTTTCTCTAATTCTAAAAACCAAAAAGCTCTAAAAACCAGAACTTTTACGCCTTTCCTGACAGGAATATTTAATTTCCACGAATTGCCCTAGATCCCGCTGAGGGCGGCGGGCTGTCTAATTATGAAATATGCACCCTGTTCGCCCTGTAAAGTCTGATTTCCGAGATGATGCTCAGGTTATCCGATAAGACCGCGGAGGTTACCGGAGAAAAGGCGAGGACCGCACGGCGCGTGGCACACAGACCGCGCTCACGCCAGCGTTCCACCCTTTCGCCCCCACCACCCCTGAAAAACGCCCACTCAGTCACCTCAAGACCCTGCGCAATTCTGCCAACGACACCCCTTCCTGGTTCAGTGTCCTCACCCCAAAAGAAAATGAAATGGCATCGCTCCCCTCGCGGCTGCCGACGAGGGCTGGAAACCACTAGAACGAGAGCCGGGCCCGTAAGCCTCTAGCTTCACCCACCGCCCGAGGCGAGGCGACGCGCCGTTTGCCGTAGACGCGACAGGGGCATCCCGTCCCCCTCAGGGAAGACGGCCGCCCACCCCAACCCCCGAGTCCTCAGAGACCCCAGCCCGGCATCTCCTCACCTCGAGGTGGCGGTCCGCCGAGGTAACAGACGCGCGTCCGTCCCGGCTGGAGCCGGAGACCCGAATCCCCTCACACCGACCTCCTCACAGCCACTTCCGGTGCCGCGCGAATCTCGGAATTTCTCCACGCGGGACCCTCGGCGCCAGCGCGAGACCTCGTTTCCCAGAGGGCTCGTCGGCCCGTCTCCGCCCGCTTACCGGTCGTGAAGAGGTTCCCGCTATCGAAATCCGGCGGTGACTGGATTTAATAGCCCAGCTTTTATTCTGTTGAAGAACAATCTAATCAGCCTTCTGCTTTTCTAGAAGAAGGGGAGGCTTTTGATTTTTTTCAAGGCGACGACCCGACGGTTGCCATAGAAACACGTTGAGAAAATCGGGTTCCGGCGAAGTCTCGCGCCAGAGGCGAGGGTTGAGGCGGGAGAAATAAAGTGACGTCTGCTGATTGGCGGAAGCGCGCCTTGTAGTGCGGCACATGCGCAGTAGAACCAGGCAGCGTTCCAAAGAGGTGGGCCATCAGCGAATAATTCCACCCCCAGCCTTCGAGTCAGAGGGCTGGCCTGCCGCGAAGGCCTGTGGGAAATGTAGTTCGGTGGTAGGCGCACAGGCCGCGGGCAGTCGCGGGGCAAGCAGCGCCTGCGCGGGCGCAGGCCTGCCTCAGGGTGGAGAATGCGCGCGCAGCGCCTTCCTCCCCGGCGGAAGTTTTCGGGGGGCCACTGAAAAGGTGAGTCCCTGTCCCCCAAGTGAGTCAGGTATTGGGTCTCCACTCGGCTCACCACGTCCAGAAGTGAGAGGAAGGAGAGGCTTAGCAGAGGAGAAAAGTCTCCTGACGCGCTGTGCACAGTTCCGTCGTGGTGCCTGTGACGTCAGCAAGACCCTTTGTGAGAGGGGGAGGGAGGAGGGCCCGGGAGCGGGTCTGGGAATGAGAGAAGTTTTCGTTGGCGGGGATATTTGGTCCCAACCTACTGTCGGTTCTTCGTGGTGGGCGTGGCTACAGCGGAGAAGGTGGAGCTAATGAGAGGTTGACAGACGCCCCCCCCCTTTGGCACTACGTCACCCCTGGTTTCTGCTTAGGGCGGGGCTGAGGCGAGTCAGGGGCCCCAAACAACTCCTTCCTGCGCTAAGGTGGAGTCTAGCCTTTAGCTGTGCCATGTCTCAGAACCTTTCAGGAGGGACACACATCATATTTAACACATAGCAGATGTTGCGTAAATATTTGTCGAATAAATAAAGGAATGAGTGATAACGACTAGCCTGAGGGTTGGGGCTTTGGGTTTCAGCCCTGAAGTAGCCATGTGACCTCGGGCAGGTGACGTCAGCGCTCTGAGAGTCCCTTCTTTCTCCCATCCATAGTTATTGAGCGTTTAACATGGCCCTGTCTCCATCTGACGGGGGTGGGGGACCTTTGTCCTGCTAAGGGCCATTTGAATATTTGTAACATCATTCGTGGGCCATATAAAATTATCAACTTAAGAATTAGCCTGGCCCTTGCATATAAGCATAACCAATGGACATAAGACACTGGGGGGTAGGGGAGGCCAGGGGATTGTCAAGGGCAGGGGAAAAAAGGAGACATATGTAATACCCTTTGTAATACTTTAAGCAATAAAAAAAATAAAAATTAAAAATTAAAAAAAGATTAAAAAAAAAAAAGATTTAGCCTGGCCCTAACCGGTTTGGCTCAGTGGATAGAGCGTCGGCCTGCGGACTCAAGGGTCCCAGGTTCAATTCCGGTCAAGGGCATGTACCTTGGTTGCCGGCACATCCCCAGTAGGGGGCGTGCAGGAGGCAGCTGATAATGTTTCTAACTCTCTATCCCTCTCCCTTCCTCTCTGTAAAAAAATCAGTAAAATATATTTTAAAAAACTTAAAAAAAATTAGCCTGCTAGATTTGGTCCAACATTTAATCAACTCACCCCCGATCCCTTGGAAGGGCCAGACCTTATACAGCCCGCTGGCCGGGTGTCCCCTACCTGTATTAAATAGTTACTTGCTCATTTGTTTATCTGGTCCCTCCCCACCCCAGAAGGTGAGCTTTGTCAGGTGCAGAGCTGTGTTTCCATTGCTGCTGTATCCCCAGGGATTGGCACACATTAGGGCAGTGATGGCGAACCTATGACATGCGTGTCAGAGGTGACACGCGAACTCATTTTTTTGGTTGATTTTTCTTTGTTAAATGGCATTTAAATATATAAAATAAACATCAAAAATAGAAGTCTTTGTTTTACTATGGTTGCAAATATCAAAACATTTCTATATGAGACACAGCACCAGAGTTAAGTTAGGGTTTTTCAAAATGCTGACACGCCGAGCTCAAAAGGTTCGCCATCACTGCATTAGGGGTTCAGTGAATAATTACTGAGTGAATGAATGAAACTAGCACATGCTGGCTACATAGCCGGTGCTCAGTAAACATTAACCATTATCCTTCCCTTACACTGAATGAGCCTGAGTCGGCCTCTCCACCTTTATGTACTTACAGAACACTGTTACGATGGAGATTCCAGCCCAGCGCATCTGAGGGCCAGACCGTGATCTCATAAAGGTACTATCCCCTCGGGCACATGCCCCTTAAGCTCTGTTCCCCACCAACAGCCTGCCACTGCTCCATCTCTTTTGTGTGACTGCTCTCATGTTAGTCCCAGGAGGACTGTTGTCATGGGCATGACAGGGTCACTGGGTTAGACACTTTGTCCATCCTGGAGGCCGCCTTTATCCAGGGGTGCTTGGCACCTGGAGGAATTCTGCTTAAAGCTACGTAAAACCATCACAGGTTTTCAAACTTTTGTTTCCATAGGTAATCTAGCAGAGTGTCAGTGTGTTAGTCAGACTAGGCTAGACTATGCTGCAGTAACAACAGCCCCCAAATCTCCGTGGCTTAACCCAAGCACAAGTTTCTCACTAACACAAAGTCTGAAACAATGCTTCAGGGTAGCCATCCTCTAGGCCAGCGGTTCTCAACCTGTGGGTCGTGAGCAATGAAAATACACCCTGCATATCAGATATTTACATTACGATTCATAACAGTAGCAAAATTACAGTGATGAAGTAGCAACGAAAATAATTTTATGGTTGGGGGTCACCACAACATGAGGAGCTGTATGAAAGGGTCGCAGCATTAGGAAGGTTGAGAACCACTGCTAGGCAGTTTTGGCTCCATCGACACAAGGGCTTTGTTGTATCATAAGTCAGCGAGTGAGATACAAGACGCTTAATGAGCCTATTAATTAGGAGTCATTTATTGCGTGAGGCCCAGAGGGAGGTGTCTCTTCCAGATCTCTGAGCAACACATACAGGAAGTTTCCCGTATTTATACTTTCTGAGCTTCTTTGTTTGCAGATATTACAAAGAGCTCTGTGTGAGTTATTGTTACAGTTTGTAATCTTGGATACATAAAGGACAAACATTTGACATAAGAATATGGGAATTATTATCACTATTAGTCCATTACATTAGATGGCTAGTTTGCAAGGTCAGGCAGTTAAGTTTTTATCTTTCTATTGTTCAAACTAAAACAGTTATTTTATAGAATAAGAGACTGTCTAAAAAATGACAGAATTTACATGACTAGGGACTATCTAACAGTAGCAGAGAATTCAAACAGCAGTTTTATACAAGAGGGAGGTTACTATGCTTCAGCTTCAGGTTTGTCATGGCCTGAAAGAGAAGGAAGAAGTGGTGGTGATTCCTGTAGCTTAACAAAACTGCTTTTTTTTTTGAGACAATAGAAATACCCATTCAGTGCTATTGCCGGGGCAATAAATTATGAAGTTGCACAACCAATCAGAATTACAGACTTCTTAGAAACTAAAGGATACCTGGCCACCGTCTTTGCAGTCAGATGGCTAGACTCCAACCCCTTCCTGGAAAATAACAGAAGGGCAGTTTTACGCCACGGTGTGGTTTCTGCTCTTCTGCAGACCGAGGGGAGAAGGAACCCTGTCTTCTAGCTGAGATTTCTTTCGTGTGCTGTTTGGACAGCCTGTGTTTTTCAGGGTGGGTACTGGGGTTCCATGAGACAGCACCCAGAGGAAACAGAGAGGCCTGAGAGGCTCAGAACTAATGGTGTAGAACGATAAGAGGGGAAAATAGGAATATTAACAAATGGAATATAAGTGAAATGCAAAGCATGACATAATAACAATCACCAACATAAAAGGCTTTCTGTGGGCCAGGTCCTGTTCTCAGCACTTGCAATAGCTCTGTTCACTTAGGCCTCAACAACCACTCTGTCAGATAGAGGGGAAGCACCATTTTACTGTTGGGCAACCTGAGGCACAGGGAAGGTAAGTTAGGTGCCCAGCACACTGCAGATCTGGAACTCAAATCCAGGTGGCCTGGGACCAGAGCCTGTGATTTTATTTATTTATTTATTCATTTAGATATACAGTATTTTATTTTATTTTTTAAAAAATATATTTTATTGAATTTTTTTACAGAGAGGAAGGGAGAGGAATAGAGAGTTAGAAACATCGATGAGAGAGAAACATCCATCAGCTGCCTCTTGCCCACCCCCTACTGGGGATGTGCCCGCAACCAAGGCCTTTGACCGGAATCGAACCTGGGACCCTTCAGTCTGCAGGCCGACGCTCTATCCACTGAGCCAAACAGGCTAGGCTTATTTTATTTTTAAATATATTTTTATTGATTTCAGAGAGGAAGAGAGAGAGAGGGAAACATTAATAATGAGAGAGAATCATTGACTGGCTGCCTCCTGCACTCCCCCTACTGGGAATCGAGCCCGCAGCAACCCAGGCCTGTGCGCTTGACTGGAATCGAACCCGGGACCTTTCGGTCCACAGGCCGACACTCTATCCACTGAGCCAAACCGGCTAGGGCTGGAGCCTGTGATTTTAAAGAACTCTGTTTTGCAATTGCAACGGAGACCAACCTTTACAGTAAATAAAGGAAAAGCATTTGATTAGATTAAGCCAGACACAGAAATAGTGCATGATCTCACTTATACGTGGAATCTAAAAGGAATTCCAATTCATACCAACAGAGAATAGAACAGTGGTTACGGGAGGCTGTAGGGTAAATGGGGAGATATTGATGAAAGGATATACACACTTTTTGTTATAAGATGAATAAGTTCTGAGACCTAATGTATAGCATGGTGACTGGTAAATAATGTATTTTGTACTTGAAATTGGCTAAGAGTATCTCCAGTGTTGTCACCACACACACACACACACACACACACACACACAAATAACTATGGGAAGTGATGGATACATTGATTAGTTTGATTATGGTAATCATTTCACAATGTACATATACCAAAATATCACATACACCATAAATATATACAATTTTTAGTTGCCACAAATAGGTAAAAAGGGAAGAACTTTCTCTTACACGGTGAAATGAAACAACAAGCCCGAGTTTATTTTGACTTCTATTTTGATAATCCAGCTTATAATTGGTACTGTACAC